GAAAACATTTTATGATGAGCGACCTACTTTTCATATACTTTTGAGAGAGAACCTACGAAGTTTGAGAATCTTAAAGTTACCGCTTAGAAAGATATTTTAGAAAAACTGGAGGATTTCAAAAGTTGCACTCCTATTTGTTCTCCCTTAGAACCTTATATGTTAACAATTGAAGCTACTCTTTTACAAACATGTCTCTATATTCAATGCCTATGTGAGTAATGCAAGAGCTTCAATAAGTACTTAATAATATGGAAATTTACATCCATACAGGTTTTTTAAACCGTGATAACGAAAAGACCCCAAAATAGGCCTTTATTACACGGAAGGATGGGCACCTCAAAAATTTTTATTTTTTGACAAATTTAGACCTCATTTTTTAATCTTTAAGGCAGTCCAAACTGCATTAAGGGCTCATTTTTTGAAGGTTTAAGGCGGTCTAATGTTGCTAACATCGAACCACATTTGGACCTCATTTTTTGAAGGTTTAAAGCGAACATCAGACCGCATTTAGACCTCATTTTTTAAGGTTTAAGGCGTCCGACGTTTCTAACATTGGACCGCATTTGGCCCTCATTTCTTGAATGTTTAAGTCGATCCGATGCAATATGAAGTGGAAATGTTTAGTACTTATTAGATATATTGTAGATGAAAAATCTCAGTGTCAGGTTATATAAAACTTCAAAGAATGCTCCAAAAGTAACTGAAAATACATTGAATTCTCTGTAGCCCCTCAAATCCAACAGGCCACTCTTCAAACAATATCTAGAGGCACTGAGGTATAACACCACAAAGCTAAACTACAAGAAGCAATTAATGATATTAGGGGCAAATGCTCCCAAGTTGTAAGATACACTAAAAATATGCATATAACTTGAAATACATACACGTCAGGATCAATTCTCATAATCCAATCAGGCACATCTCCAGTCAACTTGTTGCTTTTAAGGTACCTATCTCAAAATGAAGTATAAATTTTGTGTGAGAGATAAACTAATATCTAAACAATCACTCCAAAGAATAATCCCCAAGCTGAAATTGCAAATGAATCATAGACCACTCAGAAGCAGCACTAAGAAAGAAACTGAGTTTCCAACAGATTACTTACAATCTATCAAGGCCTTTAAAGTCCTTTAAAAAGGGAGGAATTCCACCGGTCAAATTGTTAAAGCTCAGATCACTGCAGACAATAAATAACATAAGCACAAATAAGAAGAAAGTTGTCACAATAAATGATATGTTGGTTTCCCACAACAAAATCTCTCATTGGAACAATATATTCGTCATATGCTAGTAATTTCAGACCTATGTCACTAATTCATATGAAATAATTCTCAACAAAAAGTTTGTGAGGTTTAAATATACCTGTGTGGATTTCCATGTTTTGGTTTTAAACCGCAGGATTAAATATATATGTTACTTTTGTCAATATACTTGAATCTTGTGTCTTTAGTTTCTTCTGAAACTAGGAATTTAGGGATCAATGACAGATTTTCTTTCAATCACTAAGTATCCCAAAAAGACAAGATGAGCTCTGATTGAAACTAGATTAGAGCAAGTTGAAATAACCACCAAGTAAAGAGCTGTATAATAGCATGCTAGTCCGGGACCAAGTTCGGATATGGTTGGCCCGAGCCTGGCAATCAAGAAAGCAGAGCACAGCCCAAACCAGCATTTTAAAACCCGGCGATCTCATCCGGATGGGAATCAGTTGGGACCGAACCGGTTCCTAGATAGTGTAAGTCCCAGCTCAGTTCCCCACTAAAACCTCCTATATATTTTTTTTTTCCTTTTTCTAAGCTGATCTGATGTTTTCTCAGGTCTCTTCCAATTCCCAACCCATAAACCGCTATTTGATTCTTATTTTATTCCATTTATTTTTTAAAAGTTTTAGGATCATTGATTTAGACCCATCCAAACCCGATCCAGATCACTGATCTGATACAGATATGTGGGTAAATGATCTGCCCCATCGATCTGGATTTTAGAACACCAGCCGAAGTACATGACATGAATCGAAGAGAGTGCACATGACAGGAATTGAAAAGAGAGCATAATTAGCCCTGAAGGACCCGTTTGGATCCCTAGATTTTTCAATCCTAGGAAAAGTCAATCTTGGAATTGAAATTCCCTGGAATTGAGATTTTTTGGAAATGTCAATTCCCCGTTTGGATCGCATCTGGTAGAAATCAAGAAAATGCAAATTCCCTTTTGGATTGTCTGGAATATCTTCATCTTGGAAATGCAAATTCTATCTCTCTCTCTAAAAAAAATTTGAGTTAGTTTTTCTCACTAAAATTTTATTACACTCTCTTTCAAAAACTTAAAATTTGAAATAGTTTCTCTAAAAATTTTCAAATAGTTTCTCTCTCAAAAATTTATATACTCTCTCTGAAATTTGATATAGCTTCTCTCTCTAAAATTTTGAGATACTTTCTTTCTCTAAAACTTAATATTTGAGATAGTTTCTCTCTATAAAAATTTTGAGATCGTTTCTCTCTCTAATAATATTTCAGATAGTTTCTCTCTAAACAATTGCAAGTAGTTTCTCTCTCTAAAATATGATAAAGTTTCTCACTCTAAAATTTTAAAGTACTTTCTCTATCTAAAACATAAAATTTGAGATAGTTTCCTTCTAAAAATTTTAAGATAACTTCTATCTTCAAGAAATTTTAGGTACCTTCTCACTCTAAAATTTGATATACTTACTCTTTCTAAAATTTTAAGATGCTTTCTCTCTAAAACTTAAATTTTAAGATAGTTTCTCTTTCTAAAACTTTCAGGTAGTTCTAAAATTTTAATATACTTTCCCTCTGTAAAACTTAAAATTTGAGACCGAGGATTTAAGATATTTTCTCTCTCTAAAACTTAAAACTTGAGAATTTTCTCTCCCTAAAATTTTCAAGTAGTTTCTCCCTCTAAAATTTTAAGATATTTTCTATCTAAAAATTAAAATTTGTGATAGTTTCCCTATCTAAAATTTTTTAAATAGTGTCTCTCTCTAAATATTTCAATTACTTTCCCTATCTAACATTTATTACAGTTTCTCTCTCTAAAGTTTTAAGACATTTTCTCCCTCTAAAACCTAAAATTTGAGACAGTTTCTCTCTCTAAAAATTTTTTGGTGGTTTCTCTATCTAAAATTTGATATAGTTTCTAATCTCTAAAATGTTAATATGCTCTTTCTAAAACTTAAAATTTGAGATAACTTCTCTCTATTTTTGAGATATTTCCTCTCTAAAATTTAATGCAGTTTCTCTCTCTAAAATTATAAGATACTTTCTCTCTCTAAAAATGCAAGATACTTTCTCTCTCTAAAATTTAAGATTTGAGATAATTACTCTCTCAAAAATTTTAATATGGCCTCCCTAAAACCTTAAATTTGAGACAGTTTCTCTCTATAAAAATTTGAGATAATTTCTCTCTCCCTAAAAAAATTTGTATTTTTCTCTCTAAAAATTTTCGTATATTTTCACCCTTTAAAATTTGATATAGTTTCCCTTTCTAAAATTTAATATGTTTTCTTTCTTTAAAATTAGATATAGTTTCTCTCTCAAAACTTTTAATATTTTTTCTGTTCTTCAATAGCAAAGTAGATCATTTCCATGAAATGTCAATTCCACCTATTTGGTCGAATTGAGATTTCCAAAATATAGGCTCAAAACGAGCATTTAGGAATCCCACGGAAATTTCAATTCTAACAGATATATCAATTATAAGCGAACCACACACGATTGGCCCAGCTTTTCCAGGAAACGTGACTTCTGGAAATCTGAATCCAATGAGCCAAACGGGCCCAAAAAGAAAATTAAAATAAAAATCTGTTTTCTGGGCACAATGCATATGCATATAAGCTCAATCATGGCCATTTATGTAGTGGTAGCCAGCATTGAACTATTAAGTATTTCAAGTTGAAGATTGATTCAAAGACTCCAATTGTAGCATCGAGTTTCGAGAAAAGAAGACTCCAATTGTAGCATCGAGTTTCGAGAAAAGAAGACTCCAATTGTAGCATCGAGTTTCTAGAAAAGATATCAACTTACAGGTCTTTTAGATCCTTCATTTCTTCTATGTATGGTGGGATGACACCAGATATTGAGCAGTTTCTTAGAATCCTGAAGGGTTACAGCCATATCATATTTCATATCTGTCAAGCATTGTAACTAAAGGTCCTGTAAAGCCACGGAGCTAAAGAGCAACTCTCTTTAACTTACAGTTTCCCAAGCTTCTTCATTTTCTCCAATGGAGGGAAAGGAGAAGGTTTCCCACTTAGGTCAGTGATCCTCCTGCATGTCGAGATCTCAAAGCCAACTAATCAGGCCCAACACCAAGTTTGTGGTAAAAAAACCAAAGAAAAAATTAATCAAAGTGACTCTTGCATCAACATTACTCTTGATGTCTTACAAGTCCTCCATATCTTCCAAGGAAGAAATGGTTGTAGGAATTGGTCCTTCCATGGATGTACCACTGATTCTTCTGCAAAGAAATGATGGTACAGATGTCATAGGATACACTGTATAGATTCTACATTTTCAAATAAAAATAACTTGCATCAAAATCATAAATATATTGACGAGCCTAAAGGTGGCGATTAATCAAGAAAGATAATTAGTAAGACAAATAAGAGGAGCTAGCAATATAATGTTGCTGCGATCAACTTAATTGAAGACAGGGACTCACTGATAAATGATATGACTCAGCTTTGCACTCTATTTCTACGTAAGTGTAACATTACTGATTTTCTCTAACAAAATATCCAGATATTGTTATCCAACATTTGTTTTTAAACAATCTTAATCATCTATATTTTATTGACTCAAAAATAAACAATCTCGTCAGCATGTCACCATTCTTGTTGATTACTATTTCGCCAAGTTGACCAAAGTGCTAAAAAGAGAAAAAGCCGGAGAAAAAAAAGGAAGTGCTCACAATTTCTTAAGTTTCGTCCAGTTCCCAATGAAACCAGGTATGGTGCCAGAAATATTGTTCCCATTAATCCTACTGCAAATACAAATCCAACTGTAAGAATCTGAAATTTCAAAGAAAGAAAATGTACTAAACCCTTATTTTACTTACAAGTCTGTTAAATTTGTAAGCTTGGCGAATGTGGTCGGCAACTCTCCGGTGAATTCATTTGAAGAAAGGATACTGAAATTTTCACCCCAGGTGTTGTGTTTATAATCTAAACAAGTAAAACAAAAGTAATGCTCCAACAAAAAATATTGTTAAACAGTTTCGAATGTCATGAGTAAAAAATAATTATGAAGCTCGCATATTTTAAACAACAGTGAGCACTGACATTAACATAAACTACCCAAGGTGTTCAACCTATAGAGTAAACAAAGGGAAGAAATTCATCTCAATCATGTATGCAAGAAAAAAAGAAAACATACAGTCTCTCCAAATTGCTCAAGTGTCCAAGTTCTTCTGGAAGACTGCCTCCCAGCTGGTTTGCCTCAACAACTCTGCACATTGTCAATGTTTAGGTGGCCTACTAATATAAACAAAGGTATTAGTGAAACAATAATCAGTACAATCATACAATTCAGTAAGGTTCTTCATGTCTCCAAACTTCTTCGGGATTGGCCCAGAAAACCTGTTTCCCAGAAGGGACCTACAATAATTTGGGGGATTCAATTAGCACAAATGGTTGCACGGCAAGGAATCCTATCAAATTCACACCAATTCTAAGCATCCAAATCAAGCAAAGACATGAAAACCATGTTGCAAAAAACATACACAGCAGGCATCCACACATTAAACGATATATATACAGGTACATACGCATTATAAAGAGCCACAATTATGTGGGACTTTGTGTCTCTGTGTGTGTCTGTACACATGCAAATGCATATTAATAAATATACACAAAATAAAATCTTACACAAATAAATACACATTCACACACATGTAAATACGAAGATGCATTTCATGTCATGTCAACTTCACAGTATAAATGTTGCACTTTGTTAGCATAAGTACTTTTGTCTTTTAGCAAAAATTTAAAAGGGTGGAAAATCAAGTCACACAGATGCATACAGGTTTTCTCTTTATACCTATGTTTTCTCTACCAGCACCCATGTACATGGGTAGAAAATCTAGCCATTTAATGTTTTGGATATCCAACCCCTGACTTGGGTTGGCACTACAAAATCATTGGTAAATCTAGCAATGGAACCTTTGGACCTCAAAATCCCCTGCCCATTTGAACTCTACCAAATGAGTCCTTCCTATGTTATTTGTAAAGGATAGAAAGGATATTCCCTATGAAAGACCTGGGTATCTGTCGTCTTTGATCCTTAGCCATTAAGAAATATCCATATATATTGAAATGAAAATGTTCCTTCAACTTTTGACAAATAGACAAACAATTTACCCATTCAAATGTTTTTCACACCCCAACCCTTGACAAATAGACAAACAATTTACCCATTCAAATGTTTTTCACACGCCAACAAGAAGGGCACCAAACATCCAGAAAACCGTAACATGAAAACAAACTTCACCATATCATGAACATCTTAGTAACACAAAAATATTTCACTAGATAGACATCTAGATAGATTGACATGAAGCAACTGAAGCTTGAACTTACAACTGGACCAAAGGCAGACCAGACAAAACTTCAGGAATAAAACCATTTAGATAATTGCGTGAAAAATCCCTGTCAAGCATAAAAAAATTTCATAGTCAGTTCCAAAATTCTAGTCTCAGATATTGGTGTGTGACATATTATTTACAACGTTGAGCCAATAAACTTGAATCACAAAAGGCAACCTCAATCACCATGACAACATGCTATTAAGAAAGCAGCAATTCAAAGTTTAACTAGCCCAAATTCGTCCAATATTTATTCATTCACTGATTTTTCCAAATAGACAATTTTTTCAAGATAATTTTGCATCTTTATGTTGGAGTAAGTAGTTCCAACCTTGAAATGGACCGAAACATTTGTTTTGAGTCTCTTGCGATGCCAATTATAAACTTCTTTGTAGTTGCTAGAGAAATGCATATGCATAGGAGAAAGATTTGACCAAATGAGGTGTTGAACATAATATCTGCTAGACAATCGTCAAAAATTATAAACTATGTTATGATAGTTCTTCACTACATGCTTTTGAATGAAGTGATGATATCTACCTCAATATTCTGGCGGTTTGTGCATTCACAGCATGGAATTTGAGAATGAGTACAGCTATTTAATTTATCAAAGAATATGCCCATGGCTTACTACCACCAAAACCTTTTGTAGTCATGAGGTACCTTATCAAGATTAACTCTTTTGAGTTACTATTTTCATAGCGAGAACAGCCATTTCTCTACTTTCTTTCTTGGCACAGTGACTGACCCTTTAAGCTTTCCTTTTCTTTAAAGGACTACGCACAATTTATAGGCACTACCAGATCTACCTGCTATGTGCCACTGACTACATTCTTTCTTGGCACGGTGACTGACCCTTTAAGCTTTCCTCTTCCTTAAAGAACTACACACAATTTATAGGCACTACCAGATCTATCTTCTATGGTGCCACTGACTAGATTATAACTCCTCTGAACTCTAGCTTAGTTGTCAGGATCTCAAAACCCAAAAATGTCAAACTCGCAGATGGCCCTTCCACCAGCCCCTAGACTCAGCATTGTCAGTACTTGTCTCTCTCTATTGTAACTCATGGTTACTAGTATCCCATCAAACAAATTTTAATATAGGAGTAGCAACAAACGCTGTAGTCTAACCTTATCCACAAAAATTTTATGTTGTTGAGGGCCCAAATATAAGAATGACAGTTCATGAAGGAGATGTCCTACCATCCTCAGTTTCGAGGGATATAACATAAAGACAATATTCCAGCAGCAAGAAAATATACCTCATTGAAATTGAGGTAAGAAGGTAAAGGAAATGGGCAAAGAAACTTCTTCCACGGCACAGAGGAAGAAAGGTCAGAGAAAGGTATCTTCCAATCTCAAAACAAATACATCTTGGATATCTTGCTTCAATGTGGAATGCTCAAATATCAAATACCAAAGAATCCAACTGGATAAAGACGCATGCCAACGGACGAAGTCGATGATACAAATATGTTTATTATGCTACTTGGGAGCCTAAACACCTCCATGATCAGATTAAACAATACCTTCACCATTGGGTTTATAAGAAGACTCATGAGTAATCTAACAGAAACAGACCTTACTTCACATAAAGAATTTTCTGATGCTCAGCACCTGTTTGGGCAGACCACTCACTTCTAGTAACTCCAACCATTATTGTATTTCATTTGAACTCCAGAAAAACTAGATTTTAGTCCGATACACTGTTTAAGAGTGTCACCAGTTCATTGATGCATTTACCATAAAATCCCCCTTTCCGATGCTAACTTAAAATCCTCTTAAAAACCCTTTTCTTCCTTAATTGGAATATTAACCAGCATCAGACTTATGGAAACATGCAAACATACACTCAAAGTGCAACTCAAGGCAGATAATCTCATGTTCAGTAGAAAGTCCTATGGATATCGCGATAATCAACATCATCATTATCATCAAAGCCTTTTTCCAACTATTTTGGTGTCGGCTAGACGAATCCTAGTCTACCATTTTGCTCTATCAAGGGCCATATCCTCAGTGAGGCAATAAGTCCCCATATCTTTTTTCACTACTTCCAACCATGTCCTTTGGGCCAACAACTTACCCTTTTCAAACCTTCCAATTGAACCAACTCACACTCCTTAACAGGTGCCATACTAAGTCTGAGCTACAGATGGTTAGCCCAGCTAAGTCTACGTTCTCTCATCTTATCACCTATTGGAGCCTCAACTAAGTTCTCCAGAATGTATCCATTTCGAATTCTATCCCTTCTTGTCTTGCCCTCATCAATATCAACATCCTCAACTCAGCTACATTTATCTTATGGGTATGTTATTTCTTGACCGCCCAAAACTTTGCCCTATAAAAGCAAAGTTGGTCCTACAGCTGACCCTTCAACTTCATTGATATGCGGAAATCACATAAAACTCCAGGTTCACATCTCCACTTTTCCTACCCATCTCTAATTCTATGCTAGACATCTTCGTCAATCTCTCCATTTTCCTTGATTATCGACCTAAGATACCGAAATTGCACTCTTTTTGGAATTTCTTGGCCGTCGATCTTAACTACTTTCTCGTCTCTACTCCTATTATTACTAGCATTCTATAGTCACTGTCTTAATCTAGCTAATTTTAAAACCTTTAGATTCTAAAGTATCCCATCAAAGTTTTAACTTTGTGTTGACGCCACATCAGGTCTCATCAATCCAAACTATGTTATCCACAAACAACATACACCACCGTACCTCATCTTGTAGGTGCCTAGTTAAGTCGTTCATAACCAAGACAAATAGGTATCGGCTCAACGCTGACCCCTGATGTAGACCTATCGTCACTTAAAACTCATTCGTCTCTCTACTGGCTGTTCACACACTAGTTAGCGCTCCCTCGTATATATATCTTACCTAATCAATATAGTATTTGGAGACTCTTTTCTTTTCCAACACCTACCAAATTAAAACTTGAGGTACTATGTCATAGGCTTTCTCTAGATATCTCGACGCTAACTTTCAAAGATGTCTAGATAACAAAGTCTACAACAAGATACAATATTTTCATGAGAAAAAGTATGAGGGCCTTGAAGATTGAGGAGGATGAAAAAATTTTGAAATTCTTTCTCAAAAGACATTATTCAACAGGATGACTTCTACCAGTGCTAAGATAATATGGCCTCATCAATTGTTCCAAGAGCTGGGATTAAACAATTAAAGCCACCACAATTGTATTATTATGACGAGTGCTACACACTTGCCTGAAATCATTGTTTCAAGAACAGGGAGATCATAGTGGGATTATAAACTTGTTCACGACAAGGAAGCAAGCAGACTTATTAAGAATGCACATATTTGAGATTGTCGATTTGATCATTGGAAGGAAGCAAGGAAAATAATCAAGACTTCATATCTCGAGAAACAACTAATACTTAGCAAAAGCATGGAAGAAACAACTTCAGTTTTTGACTCGCAAATTTATTGTCTGTTGCATTCCAATTGGCCATCATCCTATCAACTGCCAACCCCAGGTAAACCAAGGTAATGGAGAAGCTCTCCAACAACCTACTGTCATGCCAATTTTATTAAAGAAATGGGTAGGCCAGCTCAGCAGGACATTGACTTCGCAGTCAAACTACTACATTAAAGAAGATCCAACCTCCAAATTCAGAAGATCTTGACACATGAGAGGGCCTTGGACATACAATGAAGTCTAGAAATACATAACTTAGAAGAAGAAAATACCCCTATAGTACATGAGTGTAGTACATGAGTGGTGGTGAGGGTGAAGTTACACATGCTGACCAATAAACTTGCTGTCGAACTACCATGGAATCATCTATCTTCACAGGAAGCATAGGAATATAAGAAACTCTAGGATGACATAAAGAAGAAACGACTAATTTATGTAACAAATGACACTCACTTGAAATGCATATACAAGGAAATTAACTCAATATTAATACAAAAATATTTGCACACATGCCGAACCCACATTATCATGATTTAATTCCAGAAACAATTTCCAGATTCAGCCTTTAGCTCCATGAAAACTGCCATTCAAGGAGCCCCAGCTAACACATATTATATCAAGCCTTCTTCTTCAAGGGTACATGTACAAAAATAACACATAGACTTAATAGATGAAAGAAATGCATGACAAAGAACAGGTGAAAAGGATTCAAGGCCATTTCATTTCATTGTTGAATTATAGGTTGTTTGAGACCTAACACATGCCACATACAATGTAACTAGTTTATATTATCTAAAATAGACAAGTTATTCATTACCAATGACTAGTTCCTGAACTGAAAAGAATATTTCACATTCAAAGGATTCATTCATAAATATAACAACTTCGCATGTATTGATGCTATTTGAGGCCATTGATAAATACAAAGCTAAGGATGTTGAACACTTACAATACATTGAGGTGGGTTAGATTACCAAAGTCTTCGGGAATTATCCCAGATAGATTTTGGGCCTTCCAAAAACTGCCACAAAAATGAAAAAGAGCTTGAGGACAAGGATAATGAATCAACTAAAAAATCCAAAGCAAGTATTCTAAAACAATAGCAGGTCTGGTGGACTGGCCCCAATTAATCGGAATTGGCAAGGTGCAAAGTCGGCAAGTGCCTATATTTTAATAATATGACTTGTATAGACTCATTTGAGTCTGTACAGATGACTCAGAGTTCGGAACATCACGTCCCCAGTTCAAGCCTTGTTTTGAACATTGATCCAAAGAATCAATCACAAATGGCTTCATCAAACACTCTTAACAAAACGGACCAAAAAAACCATATTTCTTTAAAAATTACTAAAGGCAATCATAAATTCTTGTCAAACGAATCCCTCAAATATAAGAATTCACGAAAACTGCAGGCTTTTATCATCATTGCTAGCAAGAAACTTGCCTCGTGTGTGAGTTATACAAATCATACCAATCTTTTGTGCATGTGAAAAAATCACCTAGCCTTATTCTTCTTCCTATTTTCTTGTTGATAACATCCCATTCCATTTATAGTTAAGAAGCTGCTATTTTGATTTTATTTTTATTTTTTTAAAGATGAGCATATACCCTGAAAGAGCATGTTAAATGTGATGATTAGAAACCAAGAATTCTTAAAGGTGAATCATAATACACCTGTCCTATTGGATGTGACTAAATATGCTCAACCAGCTTTTCATTTGACCATAACAAATAAACCACTAATATGACACCCGGTTGGGCAGAAAGATGCAATAAGAACAGAAGTAAAACATGCAAACAGAAAAGAAGAAAAGAAATCAACTCCTTGAAGGAAAGGCTGGGATGTTTTGATCAGTTAAAGAGATATGTTGGTCGGACCACCCAAATACCCATATATCCATATGCATGAAAATGAATCTGCATTCCCAAGTTGATACTGCTGATCATTACAATGCCCACCCAACGATTCATCAAGAATTCTCTAAGTTTGAATTTTATGAAGGATGACAACAGTTTTCTGAAAAGTGTATCTCCGTGCGTGTGTGCCATGGTACCTAACAGATAAGCCCTACATTTTTATTTTTCTTTTCTTTTGGCTCACTAATAGTCCTACATGTTTTCAAGAATTGACATTCTACAGAATTTTCATTTCGTATTTTATCAAGTTAATCAGTAAATGACAATGTCCAGTGCTCCCAAAAATTGTAGGCTTCTTCGTTTCGACTAAATTGATAGTTCTTCCTCACTTGTGTCAAAATATAAAGAAAAGCATGATCCGTACATCATCTCAATGTGACAAACAGTGTTGCTCACAAAGGAGCAGTTGCATGTAACATTAGCCTCCCTGTCTTCTGTGGTACTAATCTTCCAGCCTCCACTGCTACACTGGTCCACATTGAAGTTCCCCATCATCCCTAATTTAGATGCAATTTGACGCAGAGCATTCACTGATTGTATTTTCACAAAGAAAAGAGTTAATACAAAGATCAAAACACATAAAAGTACCAGATGTCAATAAAACATTGACAAAGGAAAGGAAAGAGTGTAGGAAGTTCTCAAAAAGAAAGTGAAGCAAAAAACTAGAGAATAAACAATTTACACAAATCTAGATTGTTATAACGATTGGCACAATTGTCATACACTTTTAAGAAACAAATACAATGGAACCATCATAATAAAAAACTGCCCAAAGGCAACTTTTACTGCAAAGTCTAGTCTAGCCCTCGCAAAAGAGTTAATAAAAAGTTTAAGAGGTAATCCTAGTGCACTATAGATAGTAAAATTTAATGTGTATTTATGCATGAACATGAAGTAGAGCTCTCAAAAAACAGTCTGCTCACAAAAGGAATGGCAAATGAATTAAGCAAACTCTGATATATCAGGAACCAACGCCTAGAATTGAAGCAGCATAATATGTTTTCTTTTTTTGATTGTTGACAATAGTGCCATAATGTTTTTTTTTTTTCTTTCATCAATAAAACAAAACCAGAATCATAATGCTAAAACCCAAAACCCTTAATAATTAATAAAAGCTACCAAACTAACTGAGTACCTTAAAACACGAGATATCATCAGAAGTAATTATTTAGTAGGTGTTCAGATAAAAAATACTTTATATACAGTACCAGCGCTCCAAAGCTAAGCTAACTAGACACAGACACGGTGGAGTTACTTGCCCTTAGAACCCTACAGAGGTGAATTTTTCAAACTCGGGCTTACGAAATGATCTTACAAAATTATATCCTTTCTGCTCATATCAATCAAAGATGCATAAATATGTTTTCTACATTATTTCTATGTTTTTTATGATGATTTGTGAATTTTTTGTTTTATCCTCTATTTTTCTATTTTTCACTTTTTTGGATTTTCCTGAATTGTTTCAAGCGTAAAATTAATTTTCCAATATTCCATTTTCTATTTTATTTTTTTTATTTTTTTAACTTTAAATTCATTTTATAACTTCTTTGGCTTTTTGAGGCTTTTTTATTTTTAACATTTTTTTTGTAATTCTTTTGCGATTTTGAGGTCTTTTAGTGGTCAAAATGTACTTGCTCGAGTCCAAGCCTGAGCGGAGTTCACAGTGTATAACTCTAGGAAAGAACACTTAAGCCAGACTATTAGCAAGCTAAAGCAATCCTCTACAAAAAGTAACAATAGGATCTAGATGGGAGTAAAGAGCTTGTGAACTAAGTGCTTGACATTCAAAATGCATGTATTAGGAATTAACAAATTTCCGTTAGTTCGACATGATTTTCTCACAAGTGAACTGATGATCTCATATTTCCACATAAATCAACAACGAAAACTAAATTTTGCAGAGCATGAACCCAGAAATGCCTCATATTCAACAGATAATTACAGAAAGGGAAGTATATCATGGTAAATGTATAAAACCAACTGTAAGCTATATCATTCACAGAAAAGAAGTACATGCACGTAGTTCAAAAGCGCTTTTGTATCATAAAACTACTGATTCTCTCGAAAATTTCCAAAGAACAACAACAATAGCCAAATCAGAGCCATTCAAACCCCGTAAACCTCACATTCACCACAGTCACTTCACCATTTGAAGAAAAATCATTCACAGATACTTAAAAAGGAATATCTCACATTCACTCCTTGGCAAACTTTGTGCCTCAGATCCGAGCATTTCCCAACAAAAAAAGGCGAGCAAAACCAGCAGAATCCCATTCATTATCTTCAAAGCCATTTGATACTCCTCCAACCAAACCTACCAGAACCAATCCTCCTTCTGAAACCACGCATAAAAATGAGTTCAATTATTCAAAATCAAGAGAAAACACAAGCACTTCCTCCATTTGAGCAATCAGACTTAAAAAAATGTTCTCTACAGATAATGCTCTTGCTACTTCACCTCTGAAAAGTCCAAACCCGGAACTAGAAATCCTAAAATTCCCCTCCTCCTCCTCAAACCCCTGTCGAAAATTGCGTAAAACTCTTCAATGGACACCTAGATATAGAAGCATCTCTTCCAATCTACCAACCGTCTCAATTTAACTGTTTTCCCCTCCATATTTTTTTTTTTTTTTTACCAGAGAATGGGGATCCATATTGATATTGATTGATTGATATTAAATATACTTTCCACCTTTGAAAATTCGAAAGGTAAAGAGGAGGCGGAGGAGACAAAAGCCGAAACGAAGTGAGAGCAGCCAACTGAGATCGTTGTAATAAATAATAATTTTCAAAGGTATGTTTTTCATTCATTCAAAACCGTCAACGTGCAAGTGGCATCCAAACCTCCACGATATCGTCAGAAGATATTTCATTGCGAGTGGTTAAGATACCCCTGCAAAAGTTTTGAATCCCATATTTAACCATGTGGCCATTTGTTTTTCTGACAATGCCATTTGTGTCCGAACTATTCCTATTGTGTGCGTGGCGGCTGCCACATGTAATCGACACGGTTTCTATAATTATTGCGCGTGTCTTTTTGCTATTTGTCAGCATTTCTTTATTCCCACCCGAAATGGCAATTCCAGCCAAAGTGAAATGTGCGGTTTGTATAAGGCTGAGAACCTAAACAATCAAAGTAAGGTGCACCTTGAAATAGTATCGAAACATATTGTTTCACTAGTAAAATATTAATGATGTTTTAAAAAATTATTTTTTTCTCTAATTATAAAATTTAAAGCTTAAAAAATAGTATAGATCAAGTAGATTCACTTAAAAATCTTAAAATTTGATGGTCTAGCATTATTTTCAATATTTAAGATTTTTTTTTTTTTTTTATGTATCTCAATGTGGAGATTATCGGATTTGAGAGTTTTTCAGCATGGAAACAACTTTTAGTGAATTTTTTAGGCATGCTTAATTTTATTGTCTAGAGCCACAACCTTATATAAATTTTTTTCATAGAAGCAATGGGAAAATAGAATATTATGTAAATAAAAAAATAGAATAATATGTGGAAAAAGTTTATATAAGGTTGAAATGTAGAATTAAAGATGCATCTCAAAATTCCATCGAAAAAATTGTTTTAATATTAAAAAAACCCTTTAATTGATCATCTCGACATCGAGATGTATGAGTATGAAAAAATAAAAGATTTTGAGTCCTAAAAATAGTATCTAAACCGTCCATTTTTAAGATTTTCATATATTTATAGATCTACTTGATTTTAAACTTTTTTAGATTTTAAAATTTTATAAGTGGATATGAAAAAATAGATTTTCAGATAATCTTAAAAATCTTTTATACCAAAAATACATGTTATGATAAAATTTGGAAGTGCGTCTTAATTAAATTGTTCAAAGTTGCAACCTTATAAAAATCGCACCTACTATATATATTTGGAGATGGCGATACATGGATTCCCTAGGGCAAAAGGGCAATAGCATACTGATAATGACGTTGGTCCCGCCAAATAATGTTTGGGAAAGAATCATTTAGAGAAGATGGGAATTTAACTTGTGACGCATTGTAAGTACGGACGGGTGACCTATGTGATAGATAAAGTTTTTACCTCTTTTACACATGGAATGATCGCCCCATTGACTCTAACTTTCCTAACATCCACCCCACTTATAATTTTTTTAAGTAAAATTGTTTCATATGGGCTAAGACTGTATTTCAACAATACGCGGTCCCAAGTAAAAGGTTAGATTGTATTTCTACAATATGCGGTCTCAAGTATAAAGGTTAGATTGTATTTCCACAATATGTGGTCCCAAGTATAAAGCATCTATCTTAAAGATAGAGACGGATACAAAATAGGTAATCCATCTAAAAACCGGTATAAATAACGGTCCCAAGTATAAAGCATCATCTTAAAGATAGAAATGGATACAAAATAAGTGGTCCATCCAAAAACCGGTATAAGTAACGGTTTAAATGTCTTTTTTGTAAAATCATTATTTTTATTTCATAAAATTTATTTATTTATTTATCTCCATGATCTTCATGTTAGAGATTACGTGTCCTTAAAATTGAGTATGAAAATTCATCTCAAAAATAGATTTTTAAGAGTCGACTCATTTCGACATTGACACATAAAAACCGTGTTCGCTTTTTAAAGCACCAAAAAAAATAAAAATTATATTGTTTTATATTTGCAACTATTCCCCAATTCAAAAGATATTCATTTGGGCCAAAATATCGCCATTTGGCCCATGTTTACAACACTCTGTTTTTCTTTTTCTTTTTCTTTTTCTTTTCTCGACCAAAACCTGAGTCCATATTGATCCAGCAAAAAAATATGACCGAAAAATGAGTCTAGTCAGGCATAAAAAAATATTTAGGACCGATAAAACAATGTGTTGGACCAGTCTGGCGCATTGAATTCATAGTATTAGATCGGCACTATGAAAATGTGGGTATTAGACAAAGAGGGGTGTTTTGTTTATTCACCTTTGATTAGAGCGAAAGTGTAAAAGAAAATGGTATTGGGTTTTTTCATGTTTTAAACAGTTGTTTGTAGGGAGGATGTTGAGAAAGTTGAGTCATTAACATAGTAGCAATTGGAGATCTCCACATAAACCTTAGCCGAGAGAGAGAGAGAAAGAGAATAAATTTTCACCCAAAATAGAAAATATAGGTGCAAATTAATTGTGGTTATTTGAATTGTGAAGATAAAACAAGATTGCTGCTTTTCAACACGGAACTTTAATGGCGATGTGATATACGAAAAGTATCCACTTTATTTTGGGGAGAATACCAAAAAAGGTGTTGAAATCCTCAATATCAATTAGGTACCGATGTTCAAAAATTCGACTCGAGCCGAGTAATTGGCGCACGCGCTAACCCGAGTACTCACACCAGTCAGACTCGGTAGCAGAAAGTTATTAGAAAAATATAAAAAATCCAAAAAACAGGAAAAAATTATAACAAAAGTAAAATTTTATAAAGCACAATCAATTGCGGTTAGAACAGTAACGAAAAATAAATGTTAAAAAATGAGTTTGTGACCAGGTGAATTTTTTAAAATTTTCAAAAATATAAAAATAAGTATTTATGGCCAAAGTACTTTCCAATCTTTGTCAAAATGATAGAAAACATAAATAAACATGTTATAAATATATTCTAACTTTTTTGGGATTTTTTTTTTAAAAAATTAAGATTATCAAGTTGGACCTCCAACTCTAGACAACTCGGGCTCAGCAAGGGCCCGATCCTGAGTAACTCAGCTAAGTAGAAACTACTAGGCCAACGTTTCAAATGCTGTTAAGTACGTCCTTAAAAAATATTAACAAAATTCCAAATTGCTCATGTTGAGAAGCCATAACATTTAAAGATACTTTGATAATTTTCTCCTAAAAAGAGGTACTTCTGTCATTGCATTAGAGTTTCTTTTATTTTTGACAAACACTCCAAATTTTATTAGATCATACTAAATAAAAGATATTACATAGTTAGATAACACAAAGAAAGGTAAAGACACCCCACCTTTGGTGAGGGAATCCGTAAGAGCATTTGTTTCTCGAAAAACATGAGAGAAAGAAACAAACAGGGGGAAGAGACGCCCAGAATTTCCAGCCTGATTGACCGCAATTTCAACGGGATACATAACTCCTTGTTGCACCAACCAATAGCATTTAAAAAATCCCCTTCAAAGATACAGCTATTGTCAATGTTGCTAGAGATAAACAGCTTTATCATTTGCAACAAAGAGGCAAGTTCTGCATTGTTAGCTATGGTAGAGCCTAATGGACCCGCAAAGGAGAAAATGATCACTCCCTGCCCATTGCGTAAAACACCACCAATTGTTTGGGCTTCCCAGCACTAAACAAGAAAATTTTAAGAAATTTTTAACATTTTTTGGAAAATGTCTTGATTAATATACAAACTTAAAAGCAAACCTTCTAATGTAATTTGTAATTTTTTTATCCGCTCTATTGTAAGGGCTTTACACCCACCAAAAATAACTTATAAACCAAGCATTCTCATTGGCTCTGGTGCTTCATGGTATAAATTTAGCTCTCTTTTTTGTAGTATTGCCTTCGTTTCCAAGTAATAAAGCTAAATATAACTTGTGCACACTGGTTCTTGGTTTTGCATGCGGTTTTTTTATTTTTTTTGTGCATACTATGTTCCTTATCATCCATTACACCTCTTACAATGAGACCATTTACCTTTTACAACATAATGTCAAAATTATTCCTAGACATTAAATGTCAAATTGGATGGTTTGAGACGGTCACAAAGTCAAATAATAAAATAAAATAAAATAAGAACTTCGAGACTAATTAATGACACTCTTGTAACCACTTGATTTGAAATCTAACAAAGAAAAATGATTGGGAAGTCCTTATACCAAAAGCTAATGGTCTTTTTGTATATTTTTTCTTTTGGTATAAATATTTCCTTTATGTGCATCTTACCTTAACTCATGCACATTATCCCTATATGAGATTTTCTACAAGTATACCATGTATCTTTTGTATATGAAGGTCACAATCATTCATACTCATTAGATAGAAATCTAATATTTTTTTTTTTTTTTGAAGCTTTGTGTCTATTTAGTGACACTCTTACAACCACCCATTTTAAATTTTAAAAGGGAAAATGATTGTGATCTCTATGTACAAAAAATAAATTGTAAAAAAGAAAGAATTTATAGATATCCCCTAGATTGTACTTTTTTGCATGCCCTTCAATATTTTTTATACTTTTTAGGAATTTTTTAGAATGATGTATGCTGTTGGGATCGCATCTGGTAGAAATCAAGAAAATGTAAGTTCCCTGTTTGGATTGCGTGAAGTATATTTTTATTAGAAATGCACATCCTTTCTCTTTCTCTTAAAATTTTAAAAATGTTTTTCTCTCTCTAAAATTCTAATACACTATCTTTCAAAAACTTAAAATTTGAAATAGTTTTTCTCTCTAAAGTTTTTGAGATAGTTTATCTCTTTAAAAAATTTATATACTTTCTCTCTCTAAAATATGATATAGTTTCTCTCTCTAAAATTTTAAGGTACATTCTCTATCTAAATCTTAAAATTTGAGATAGTTTCTTTCTATAAAATTTCAAATAGTTTCTCTCTCTATAAAATTTAGTTACTTACTCTAAATTTTGATATAGTTTCTCTAAAATTTTAAGATGATTTCTCTCTCTAAAATTTAAATATTGAGATAGTTTCTTTATTTAAAATTTTATTATATTTTCTCTATCTAAAATTTATATAGTTTTTCTCTCCAAAATTTTAATATATTTTCTCTCACTAAAACTAAAAATTGGA